ACCAGCAGCAGTAGGCAGCAGAAATGCTGTAGTGAGTCCCCAAGTGGTGGTAGTGGACCATATGGCAGCACGCAGCGGGCCCTGAGAGCAGCAATTCATGGCGGGCAGGGGCGCAAGAGACAGAGTCATGGATAGGCATGCCATGCAGAGTAATTTATGGATGGCCAAGTTCTACTCTGGCAGGTGATAATGGTTGGAAGTAAAGAACTTCCTATGGGTGACCACACTTAGCTTATGGCTGGCCCCCACATTTACTTGTTTATTAGTTACTTTGCTTATTTGATACCTACCATCATGCCTGGCAAAGAGGAGGCTAGGGCGGCAAGCATGGGCAACTAGAACTAAACCCTACCCCTTCTGGTTGTGAACTTTTAGCCTTGGAGTCGTCTCTCCAGCTTGCACTTCATTTCAATGTTTTTCATAAGATCAGCTGGTTTCAGTGACATATACTCTAGAGAATGTATGAAGACATTATGAGATTTCTCAGTAGGGATAGATTTTTATTTTTAAATGATATTAAAGTGGTATAAAAGATGATATGCTAAATTATATATTCAAAATCCGCACTGATGCCCATTTATAACAGGCTATGTCATGATTTTACGTGATTCACTTTCACTACATTGAAAAAAGTCATGTAAATGGTTTTCAATGTTTATACATGGACTGACGCTAAGGAAAGAACCTTATTTTGTCACAGCATTTGGTGTGTCCTATTTTGTTGGAGCCCACAAGACTACACAGGGAATGCACAGCTGACAGGCCAATGTACGGGAAGTGTGTAATCCACATCCGCATGGAATAACCCATTTTGCAGAGCTGCAGGAACACTTGTCTTTTGGAAAAGTCACTGTCATATCTACAAAAATCTTGGGAAACCATGATTCTTCACTTTAAAATGGTATTTGTTCCCAAAACACCTCAGCAGTGTGACTTCTGCATGGCAATGGAGTGACCCTGTTCCATTCCCCCACACCACAAGACCTTAGAGAGATAACATTCATTCTTTGTTCGAACAGTCAAATTTACATAGAATCAGTCCCACAAAATTACCCACCAACAGACCACATGGAAATTGCTATAGAGGACAGGCCCTGAGCAGGACGGCAGCATGCCCCGCCTTTGCTAACAATCAAATCTACTTGTCCCCAAATCTGGTTATCACAAAAGAGATTACATGAGGAGAATGGGTGAATCCAGGATTCAGGGATGTTTAGTAACTTTATCTAATGGTTTGGAATATCAACACTTCCCCTTGAATGTTGACTCTTTCCTGGGTGGTGCCACAAGTTCCAGAGTACTGATTGATCAGGTTCTACCTACCCCTTTTTATGGTTTTGATTTTGTGTATTCCAGAGTACTCTTTTCTCAGGTTCTACCTGTCCCTCTTGATGACTTTGATTATGTGTATTCCAGAGTACTGCTTCCTCAGGTTCTACCTGTCCCTTGTTATGACTTTGATTATGTGTATTCCAGAGTACTGCTTCCTCAGGTTCTACCTGTCCCTTTTTGTGAGTATGAAACTCCAGGACTCTGGCTGAAGGGGGAGTTTGAGGGAGTTGGGCAGCAATGGGGTAAGGTAGGAGGACAATACCCAAAAATATTCAAGGAACGCTTTCCTTCCTCCCTTCTCTCCTTCCTTCTTTCTTCCTTTCTGTCTTAAAGACTTTTGTGCATATGTATATTGTAACAGATCCTCTGGGACTGGTGTTATAGGCAGTTATGAGCTACCCAGTGTGAGTTCCTTGGACAGAGCTCAGGTAAATCTCCTAACTGATCAGTCATCATCTCTCCAGTTCAGGAAGTCCTAGTTCTGAAAAAGTAATTTGTACTCAGAAGTTGAAGAATTACTAATAAATCATAAAGAAGCACTCACTACTGTATTTATATATATTATATAAAGAGTAGGCAATTTTCTTCCAAATCTATAAATAAAACAGAAAGTACAATCCAAGGAATCAGAGAGAACTGGCTCCTGTGGCCACGTGACCTCTCACATATACTGTGGCATGGATGTGCCCCCCATCACTAGTAGGTAAACTAACTTTTAATGGCCAATAGGTAACTCTTCCTTGTTTCAAATAGGTGGATATGGCTAGTGGATATAATTATTTATTGTTCAGTAAAATATGTTTTCAAGGAGGAAAGTTGGTTTGTCCCATCACTACTTTTCTATAGCTTCTAAGAGTCACTGCAGAGGAACTGCAGCTACTTTTGAAATCGTTACAATGATAGCAAAGGCCCTCTAAGGGAAAACTCCTGTTCAAGAATAGAACTTCTGACCTGCCTGGAGATCTACAGTTCCAGCAATTACAATGTCACACAAAGCTCTCTGTCTTCCTTCATGGGGAAAAAGAAAGTAGTTCAAGCATCACAGGAAAACTGAGTGGAAAGTACGGAGATTTTTGCATCTGTTGTTCTTTCCTGGATTCATTTCCCTAAGGTCAACATCCTACAGTGAGTAAGTAAGAAGCCCACATGCCAAGTGTAGGAGTAAATATTGACTCTGTTATGAACCTGAGTCAATCTGCTCTTGGCAGTGTGTCTTCTGTGGGTCTGGAATCATGGACACACACTTGTGTTCACCCTTACTTTGTTACACAATGTGGCCTCACTGCCTAACAGTCCCTGGGCTTCCAGTGCTATGTCTCCCCAACCCTGACTAGGAGTCTGGCTCTGCCTATGCTTCTCTTGGATTCCCCCGCTCTAAGAAATGCTGCTGTCTTGGGATAATATACAAAGAACTCAAGAAATTGATCACCAAAAGAAAACATAATCCAATAAAAAAGAATGGAGTATAGACCTAAACAGAGAACTCTCAACAGAGGAATCTAAAATGGCTAAAAGACACTTAAGGAAATGTTCAACATCCTTAGTCACCAGAGAAATGCAAATCAAAACAATATGAGATTCTATTTTACACCTGTAGGAATGGCCAAGATCAAAAATACTGATGACAACTTGTGCTGGAGAGGTTCTGGGGTAAAGGGAATACTTCTGCATTGCTGGTCCGACTGCAAGCTGTTACAACCCCTTTGGATGTCAGTGTGGTGATCTCTCAGAAAATTAGGACACAACCTTACTCAAGACCCAGTAATACCACTTTTGTGTATATCCAAAGGATGCTCAATCATGCCACAAGGACATGTGCTCAACTATGTTCATAGCAGCTTTGTTTGTTATAGCCAGAACCTGGAAACAACCTAAATGCACCTCGACCAAAGAATGGATAAGGAAAATGTGGTACATTTACACAATGGAGTACTACACAGCAGAAAACAATGATGACATCCTGAATTTTGCAGGAAAATGGATGGAGCTAGAAAACATTATTTTGAGTGAGGTAATTCAGACACAGAAAGATAATTATTACATGTACTCACTCATAGGTGGCGTTTAAACATAAAGCAAAGAAAGCCAGCCTACAAACCACAATCTCAGAGAACAATGAGGACACTAACAGAGACTTACATAGATCTAATCTGCCTGGGAGGTAGAAAAAGACAAGATCACCTGAGTAAATTGGGAGCATGGTGACTTTGCGGGAGGGTTGAAGGGGGAAGAGGAGAGGCAGGGAAGGGAGCAGAGAAAAATGTAGAGGTCAATAAAAATCAATTTAAAAAAAGGACTGCTGGTCCTTATCATTGGGCTAGATTTCACTCTGTCCTTATCCCTGTGTCAGGCTTCACTGTCAGGCTACACTTAGGATCCAGGAATAGGCCTATTATCTCTGGCTCATAACCATGGGGTTAGAGGAAGAGGTATCCAACTAGGGGAAGGTTGATTGATTATATGTTATTGTTATTGTAAGCCCCAGTCTCTAGCCTCCATCTTTGAAGGTCCTGTCCCTGTGCCCACCAAGCCTTGACCCCTCCCCTGACGAACCTGCCAAAATCTTGCCCACTCTCGGTCTAAAGTGCAGGAATCACATTAAACCTGGATATTTTTTAATTTGGCCTGTTGTGATTTGGCTTGATTGGAATTTTTTTGTTGGCAGAGGAGAGCTCACATTAGGAAAATTCCTAACAGTTATGTTTTCTATAACTAATATATTAAATTTTTATAATTTTTAAAACATTAATTTTAACTGATTCATTTTATGTGCATGGTATGAGGGTATCAGATACCCTGGAACTGGAGTTACAGAGAGTTGTGAGCTGCCAGGTGGGTGTTAGAAATTAAACCTGGATCGTCTGGAAGAACAGCCAATGCTATTAACCAGTGAGTCATCTCTCCAGCCCTTACATTTGTAGTATTTTTTTTAAACATAGTTTTGGCTGACCTGGAGCTCTCTATGTAGACCAGGATAACCTTGGACTCATAGAGATCCATCTATCACAGCCTGCTCAGTTCTGGGATCAGAGTCACGTACTACTGTACCCACAATTTTCCTTGGCATATGTTCCTAAACGATAAAAACAATGCTAAATTTTTGTTTGTTTTGTTTTGTTTTGTTTTCTGAAGTCAATGATATTCTGTTGCTGTATTTTCTGGGGCACCTGCATTCTAAATCCAAACTCTTTCAGCTTGTGATCCCAGCTCTGGAGCAATCTGACACCTCTTCTGACCTCTGCAGGCAACTGTGCTCACAGGCACAGCCACGTACATATAATTAAATCCAACACAAATAATCTTAGAAAAACTCCAACTCTGCTTCATATACTGTCTAGTCCTGAAAGTCTTCGTGGCATCAAAGCTATGAACCTTGGTCCCTGCGCCGGCGCGGGCGTGCACAGGTGCGGGACATTTCTCCCAGATACCCTCGCGCTTCCCGTTAAAAAGCGAGCTTCCACGAGGTCTCGCTCTCTCTCTTGCCCTTTACCCTTGTGTATCTTGCACACCTGTCCCTTATCGTGTTCCCCTCCCCCCCCATTAAAGTGCACCCACGTGGGATCTGCGTGTCTGTGTCTCCTCCTTTCGTTCGTCTTGTCTGTCCTGTATTCGTCTACACACACACCCGCTTTTAAAAGAATAATAGAGAGGTCTTGAATGACCATGTCACAGGGATCCCATATCATATGTCCTCTTTATCGATTTTTTTACATTCTGATTCAGAACAATAGCAAAACTACAGTAGCAATGAAATAAATTTATAGTTGAAGTCACCACAGCATAACGAACTGTCTTAAAGGGGCACAACATTAAGAAGATTGAGAACCACTGGTCTAGGCATTTCTTGAACTGGTGAGGATAGCAGTGGGATGTGTCTTTCTGTCCCCACTCCACTAACCAAACATTTTCATATTGGAACCTGTTGTATGAGACAGCCTGAATCACTCCCTGTTGGCTCCAGAGTATACGATTTCTTATTCCCGGAAAGGAGAGAAATGTATTCACAGACTGCGAACAGTGTTGTCTCGAGCTCTCTGCATTCTGACTCTGTCTCTTAGAAATTCAGTCTCTGGATCCTTAGCACATAGAATCCTCTAACCTGGCTGGTGTCCCCTTTCTTCAGTAGTCTCCTCAAAACTCAGAGTTGCAGCATGGGGCGAACCTCTCCAGAGGATCACTGCCCTTTGTGTGGGAGTCAAAGCAGGAAAGAGTTATAAGTACGTGTGGTGAAACGAAACATAGGCGGAGTGCAGTGTGGAACCGCCCTGCAGCAAAAACCGTGTTTCATCGCCTCAACGTTTACAGTTCCGTTCTTCTTGTCGCTGAAACTCAGCTCGTCGGCTGTGAGATGAGTGCTGCAGAGCCTGGAGAGGCTACTGTGGGCATGCTCAGTACCACAGACAGGCTGCAGGAGGGCGAGTTGGGTACGTATTTAATGCATATGCGAACAGAACTACAAGAGCAGAGAGCTGTTTGCCAGGGACCGGGAAGGAAGCAGAGGGCAGAGGAGCTGAACCTCAAGCCTGAGAGCCTGTCACAGTGGGTTTCTGCAGAACCAGAGAATGCAGACAGGAGTTTAGTTAGCTAAGAGTTTTTTTTTTTTGTTTTTTGTTTTTGTTTGTTTTTTTTTTTGTTTTCTTTTTCTAAGAGTTTTTTTTTTTAACAGTAGTTATTCTTTTAGAGCATATAATACTTAAATAGTTCTCGTGCAAGCGAAATGAACAGTGGATTGCCATACAAAAGCCGGAGCAACGGTTTTTTGGGGGGTTTGGAGGGTTTTTTTTGTTTTGTTTTGGTGTGTGTGTGTGTGTGTGTGTGCGCGCGCGCCCTTAGCTTGCTAGCCCACTCTTTTCCCAGGGATCTGGCACATTATACTCTGGTGAATCATGCCGAGTGAGTCCCTGTGGAACATGCTTGCTCTACAAAGTCCAAAGGCAAAGGGGAATTCAAACAATAACAGCTCTGTAGTGCACAGTGACAAGAGGAGCCTGGGAAGCTGGGGCCTCTTTTTTTTTGCAGATTCACTCAGATGGAAAAGGGTGTTAGGAGGAGGCAGGAGGCCTGGGGTCTAGGCTGACCCCACCCAGGACCAAATCCTCTGCATTTTGAGATCCTAGTCAAAAGAATATAATAGGTTTTCTAATTCAGTCTTCAAGAAGAAAGCGAAATTGTGTTTCTTGAGTTTTGAAAATGTCTATGCTTCATTACATTTCACTGTTTTATCTTCTTTTTTTCCTTCTTCCCTGTCCCTCCACCTTAATTGTTTTCATTCAGGAAAAGATACTGGATTTTGGGAAAACAAGACTGATATTTACCAAAATACCAAATTCATGACCAAATATTAATGCTTATTACTTAAACCAAGTATTCCCCAAACTGAAACATTATTGTTATTATTATCATTATTTATTATTATTGTTAACTATTGATGCTCTTGCTGCTGATTGACTAATTCTTTGAGACAGTCTCCTACTATTTTCCAAGCTGACCAATAACTCTTGCTCCCTTTGCCCCAGCAGGGTTGAATTTTGTAACCAAATACTTACCCAATGGGAGCAAGCTGGTTGTGAATGTGGAGCTCCTGTCCAAAGGGCAGATGTTGTGTAACTGGAGGCATTGTGCAACTTGTAACTTGTCTCTCATTTGAAACCATAGCTGGTTCTGTGAGTGAAGCAGGTTTTTGTTTGTTTGTTTTCAAGACAGGGTTTCCTTGTGTAGCCCTGGCTGTACTGGACTCACTCTTGTAGTCCAGACTGCCCTCAAACTCAGAGATCTGCCTGCCTGCCTCTGCCTCCTGAATGCTGGGATTACCTGGCACTTTTAAAAAAATAAATAAATAAAGTTAAAAATCAGCAATGCTTCCTTTCTTTGTTTATTGAGAGATCATTTCTAATACTGCTTCCTAATAAAGACACAAAAGTAACTTCCAACTGTGCTGTGGAAGGCATTAGATTTTAGAAGGAATGCATGTATATACAGTATGATAAAGGTGGACAAAAATTTACCATTTATGTATCAAAATGAAACAGACGGCATCAGGTTTTATACTGCTGTAAATACAGTGGGTGACCAGAAAATCTTGCTGTTGATAACGTATATGATATGTCTGGTTGGAATCCTGCTGGAACCCAGTGCAAGGAAAAAGTTACACCGTTTATGAACCAAAATGAAACAGACAGTATCAGATTTTATACCACTGTAAATATAAAGGACTATCAATAAATCTTACTGTTGATAATGTATTTGAAATGTCTGATGTGGAATCCTGCAAGAACCCAGGTGATTATATGCTTGAATTCTCTTTTAGAAGACTTATCAGGTATTGTTCTTTAACACAAGCAAAATTGTAAAGTTTGGTTATTTTTTCTTTTCTGTTTGTCTTTCTTTTCAATTGACATTTTACACTTACCACACACTTTTATTGTTTCATTGAGGTGACTTCATTAGAAACTCCCTCAGCTATTTTCAGAAACACTATACATTGTTGTAAACTCTATTCTACTGTGCCTTTGATACCAGAGCTGATAACTCTTTATAGCAAATATTGCCTCTGTCCTCTCTATTCTCCCAGGTTCAGTAAGAGATATTTATAACTAAGTGTGTATTACGACACTGTTCACAATAACCAGCACATGGAACCAACCTGCATCTATCAGTGAATAAATGGGGAAATCTGTGAGAGATATAAAAGAGAGGATGAGATGACATCTTTTGTGACAGTGTGGGTAGACCTGGATGACATGTTGAGAAAAATTAGTGAGATGTGGGAAGCCTAATGCTGCTTGACAGAAGAAGGAATAGCTAGGAGTATGAACTGTCTATTCAGAGTTTGGAAGAGGTTTACAACACAGTGCTAAACTGGGAGATCATGGGTATGTCTAGACATTCCAAGTTTGAAGGTGTTTAGAAATCTGGAGATTGGGTGACCAGAGGAATAGAAAACTGATATTAAAAAAAAAAAAGATTTCTCACATGCAGATCAGTGTTGGAGCTGGGTAGTGACAGCCTGAGAATTTAGCATACTTTTCTTTATTTTTGTATAGGCTTACAATTCCCACCAGTAAATGCCTTGTTTTAAAATGGTAAAAAAAAAAAAATAGAAAGAAGAAAGCATGAGAAATGTCTTACAGATTAACTGACGTTAAGAAGACCAGTGAAACAAACGGGTCATTATTGGGGAGACTAAAGGACACTTCTACTACCACCTTAGTAGGAAGAAAAAAATAGAAATCATGGAAATTGAGTTTATAAAGACATTTTTGTCTAATATAAACAACAAAAAATGAGGATTGAGAGTGTTGTATATAGTCAAAATCGAAAGGATATTATATAATGCTTGCAATCCTCTAATCCTAAGAATCACCTTTCTTCTTAGTTTTAGCACCAGTTCTCTCCTGACGTGGAGATGTATACTCATATCAGACATAATCTCATGTCTCCATCACGGTGAAATATAGACCTATAACTTCACTCAAATTCCTCTGACGCACAATGCAGATTCTTCCCGGTCACTTCTTTCCTCTAACCTGGCATTTGTTTTTCCCCCAAGCAGTTCCCATGGATCCTACAGTCTGGTAGTCATAGCACTGATCTCTTCTACATAGCTATTGGCCATTCACCTCTTTATTAAACCAATCAGAAAGGGCCTTGGCAGAGACACATCTTCACAGTGTACAAATATTCTGCAACACAGATACATATATGCAGGCAAATCAACCTTATGCATTTAATGAAAAATAAAGTTAAGAAGAATGACAGAGGGCTGGAGAGATGGCTCAGAGGCTAAGAGCACTGACTGCCCTTCCAGAGGTCCTGAGTTTAATTCCCAGTAACCACGTGGTGGCTCACAACCATCTGTAATGAGATCTGGTGCCCTCTTCGGGCCTACAGGCATACATGCAGACAGAACACTGTATACATAATAAATAAATAAATCTAAAGAAAAGAAACTTAAAAAAAAAGAAGAATGAGAGACCTTACTTATTTCTTTTAAATGCCCTATAACCATAAATGTGTTGGGAAGAGTTCCTTCTATTCCTATCCTGATGAGAGTTTTTTTTTTTTTTTATTTTTGAGTACTATTAATTTTTTTCTCACAGTTTTGGTAAACTTGTAAAAATGGTCCCATATTTCACCCAATAATTATGTCAATGTCTTCTATTATATTTATGTGTGTGCTGACTAAATTTTTCTTACTAGGTTCTTTGAAACTGATCCTTATAGTCCACATTGGCCTCAAACCTCCTTTGTAGGCAAGGCTGGTCTTGTACTCCTGACTCTCCAATTTCTGCCTCTCTTGCACTAGAATTGCAAAAGTGTACCAATATATTTGTCTTGTTGACTGGAGCAGGAGTTATACAAACAGTCATGAGCTGTCCCATGTGGAAGCTGGGATCCAAATTCTAGGTGAACAACAACTGCTTTTAACCTCTCAGCTCTCTATATCTCCAACATCTTGCTGATCCCTCCACCTCCAACTCCCACAGTGTTTTCCTCAGTCGTAACCAGTCTATGCTTAAGGAACTAGCTCCACAGGTGATTTTCTGTTGTTATTTCTTTTTCATCCTGATCTTCACACTTTCTGTTTCTTAGCTCTTGGTTCAATAACTAGAAGACTCCATGGCAACACTTCTGCTCCCTTTTTTCTACTTTTCAAAGACATCATTTCCAGGTCTGGACATCCAGAGAAGGGTATTTTCAGAGGAGGAGTGTAAGTCAAATCTACAGATGATTCTGAGTAAATACAGCTTTTTCCCTGAAAGATTCTTGAGATTGATCTTCTTATATTTATATTTCTCAGGTACAAAGCTTGAAAGAAAATGTTTCAGAATCATCTCCCCTGTGTCTCCTGCTAGGCTTTACTGCTGCTGTGCAGTGATCATCGTCCTCACTGCAGCTGTGATTGCACTTTCTGTGGCTCTGTCATTTTCAGGTGAGTGACATTCTCCAGATCTTGCAGCATTCTGTCCACATCCACACTGTCAGTTACACTTACTGAGCACTGTGAGCCAGGCACTGTGTGAAGGGCAGAGAGAAAACACAATGGAAGTTCCTGTTCTGTGGGAACTTAGGGTCTAGCAGGAAGATGCAGTGAAGGAACAGCACAAGCTGCAGTATGCATGGGAGGCCAGGCACTGCATAAGAAAATGACTCTTTCCCCAGGAAAATGACATTTTGTAACTTATAGAGAGATGCAGGAGACATATGTCTATCTTTGGAACTATCCAAGGTAGAGAACAAGGGAAACAATTTCCAAAGAAGAAAGCTCAAGGAAATGTGAGGACAGAGATGATACAGCACCTCCCCCTGATACCCATCGTGCAAGTTCCCATGGTCAACTGTATTTTTGAAAGTATTCAATGAAATGTTTCTGAGGTAATCAATTTATAGGATTTTAGAATTACAGTGTTCAGAATAGTGTAATAAAAGTGTAATAAAAGTATAATAAAAGTCTTGTATTGTTGTCATCTGTGTGTATGGGGGTCCTCTTTCCCTAATTGGCCTGTTGGCCACCAGGTTGAGAGGGAAAAGATAAAGAAAGGGTGACAGACTGTTTTGTATACAGCCCATGAGCACAGATGAAGGGAGGCCTTTGGGAGATAGACTTAAGTGATTTAGCTCAACTTTATTCAAAGTATAAGGAATATATAAGATTAAGGAACCTGGGGACAAACCGTAGTGTGGTCCTATCACAAGACTTGGTATGTGGCACTAGGGTCCTTTAGAATAGATTTTCTAGCATAAGTCTTCTTAGCAGGGGTCCTCTGTATCAAGGGTCAAGCTAAAGATGAGTCAAGCATCTGGTTTTAAAGACAGGCCTCTGGTTTAGAGATTTTCAGATGAGGTCAGTTCTCCAGGCCCAGGGATATTCTCCGGATAAGGATAGATAGAGAGCAGGAAGCTTTGTTGAGGAAGGAGGACGCTCCATATTGTCAAGCTTAGAGAGAAAGCTGCTAGGCTATGACAGACTGTGATCTCTAATGAGCCAGCATGTATTCCAAGATCTGAGCAACCTCTTAGTGCAACAGGCCACACTGTATACACTGCCTTCCCAATAGTCCTCACTGTTATCTCAGTTATCAGGCTGACTGTAAAGTAGGTGTCCATACATGGTGCTTGTTGTTCTAGTAACTCCTATTGTAGTGAACAATCATAAAGCACAGAAAGTGATGATATTATAGAAATTCACTTCCTGGGTGCCCTATTGTGAGTGAGCACCTGAAAGAGATTGTGGCATAGGCCTGGGCTGGGATGCATTTAGATAAAGGACCATAATCCTAAGGAGATAACTCCTACAAATGAGTAAGAAAAATTACAGTCAAATTACACCTCACATCTGAAGTAAGTAGGGTATGCCAATTCTTGTTATAACTTATTTTATTGTCCAAATTTTAGTAAGAAGGCAAGAACAGGACTCAATCAAAAATACCCATGCTCCTTGCCCAAGAGGCTGGATTGGATTTGGAAATAGATGTTTTTATTTCTCTGAAGACTCGAGTACTTGGACATTAAGCCAGAACTTCTGCACGGAACAAAAGGCCCAGTTAGCTCAATTTGACAACATGGAGGAGCTGGTAAGAAAGGATCAGGAATTGGTTTGTTCGTTCTGTTGGATATGTATTACCTTGAGATAGACTGGCTAAAGATAAAGCATGAGGAGAGATCCCACAACTTGCAGATGGGGCATGGGGAACATGTGAGTATGTTCCATTTGCTGATAGCAACACTTTTGATTGGAGCCCTGAGACATACAAGAAACATTTTCTCGTGCAGTGCTCATAGTCAATCCGAAGGTCGGATATGCCACTTTACTGAGATACCTGCTGGTCATGAGCATTTTTTTCCAAGCTAGCAAATGCTGCATCCTGAAGTTGGCAATTGTTAAAAAGTGCAAGGGGAGGCTTAACCAGGAACTATCCCAGCCATGAAGAATATGTCATTATAGTTAGTATTTTAATTCAAGTGAGATACTTAAGAATTATGGCTGTCAACTTGATCCACTGAGAACTAAGGGCTGTTATGGCTCCAAAGTCTGTGCCCCTCAGATACACCCTCTGGTTATCTAAAGAGGAAGCTGTGGCATGGGAACACTCAAGTATCATCTCAAACAGAAAGACACATATATTTGCTTTCCATGTTTTATGACAGAATTTCCTGAAGAGATACAAAGGGACCTCTGACTACTGGATCGGCCTGCACAGAGAGTCATCAGAGCACCCTTGGAAGTGGATGGACAACACGGAATATAACAGCTCGTATGTTTTCAAACCATTTTCCTTCTACTGTGAACATTTGTTGTGAAGTGTGTGAGTTGTGTCTATTAGAGAGGAATGGCTATGTGATGTGAAGCCAGCTGTACTGCCTCAGAGGTATATTGGCCATCATTTTCAAAACCTTTGCTTAGTGTGATTTTCCTCAAAATCTTTAGCATGATGATGGCATTTAGGGTAGCTATTGTCTTCTCCATCACTAATTTAAATTTCTTTGTTGTTGATAAATGTCCTGTGTGGAATGTAGAAATAACCTTAGAAGGGCAATGAGAGCCCTGAGACTTCAGGAAGCTATTGTATAAGTTCAAGCCTGAGACCCATCAGTCCACCATGTGTCTAGCTGCACCTGTTCACAGAAGCAGAGGTTTCACATCCTTGAAAACCTCCTTTTAAATCTAACTAGAGAGCACCCAAGACAATTTTTAATATGAGCATAGATGCTTTGAATGGAGCCATTATAGACCCAGTCTTGTCCATTATTAAAGTCCATTCAGAAATTTACTAAGAAGTGGTTTTTCCCATATGTGAAATGCTTCAAAACAGAATTGGAAATCATGCTCAGAGATGCCACCTATGGCTGTAGTTCATTTGAACTGGGAGCAAGCACTAGTTAAATTCTTTGTACACAAATTGAAGGGTTGGTTCAACTTGGATGAATGTCAAAGGTACTGTGTTCAAATCAAATCCTGAGAATGAAAAAGACAATAGGCACAAAACTAGTGCAGATGATTCTCTTGGACTCTGCCTTTGATCATATTACAAATAAGTACTAGAGACAGACAAGATTTCACTGAGGAGCAAATGCAGTTCTGGGTTCTGCAGATTTACTGTTCTTGGTTTATTTTCAGGGTTCCCATCCGAGGAGTGGAAGACTATGCCTACCTGAACAACAACGGGATCAGCACTGCCAGGATCTATGCAGACAGAAGATGGATCTGTAGCAAGCCCAACAGCTATATCCTCGAATGTCAAATTCCTTTTTCCTCTTTCTAGTCTTTGTAAAGAGATGCTTTGCAACCTAATATCTACAGTTGCTGCTCTAACCCCTGTTTGCCAACATTGTTATCAAAATGAATTGGCTGCCAACTGGGTCACAGGAGCATTTAGGCATCATGCAGTCTCCCTGATGACAATAGGTCCGAGAGCGCTCCTGGGACAGCAAGTATTTGGCAAGAGGTGGTCTGTGTCCTACAGGATCAAACATTCAGCCAAGATTTAAATCTTCACATAACACAGAGAAGCATATCCATCTAATAAAAAAAAAGAATTGAGAATATTTCTTTACATCCAAATGAGAAACATATTGAAGAACTGCACAACCAAGGGTTTAGAAGAACATAGGTTAGATTGAATTCTTATAAGATTCTTATAAGAATTCAAAAATTCAATCTACAGAGCTGTTCTAAGAGAGGTAGGGCTGTTACCCAGAGAAATTCTGTATCAAAAAAAAAAAAAAAAAAAAAAAACAAAACAAAAAAAAAAAAA